GGGGCATTCCTTCCTTCCCTTCAATGCGTATGACACAACACCATTGGTCAAGCATTATTATTGGTTAGCCAATCAGAGCAGTGCAACTGGGATTTGAACACCCACCCAATAAAAAGCAGTCGCCATAAGAATAGAGAAATAAAATTGAACTGATCTCACCGCTAGCAGACCAACACTCTCCCTGTCGGATGACAGCGGTGCCTCAATCAGTAAAGTCCTCTTCTCTGCGCAGTTTTCTTTGCGCAGTTTTCTTTGCGCAGTTTCCTTTCTTTTTTCTTTTTTGAGATCTCTCGATCAGCTGCCTTCATTTAAATAGTTTAACGACTCTGGGCTGCTTAACCATAATTGTAATCGCCAGCCAACTTCCATCTCCCAGCTTAAAATTTCCTTATACGAGAAAACTTCATCAAATCCCTTTTGTTTATGCATTCATGATCATAGTCAATTATAATACCATATATATTGGTTATGTGCATAATTATCAGGCGTTTTTCAAACAATATTTATTCTGAAAAAAGAAACATAACAATTTAACAATAAAATATTTTAAATGATTATTCCAGAGCGTATGATTATCGACATATCGCTGATTGCGTTTAACCCTAGAACACAAACCATGGGTATATAGTACCCAGCGCAAATTTTCCTATTTGTAATTACAATTTTCAGTACCTGATTTTCTTACCTAAATAATATGTTTTTCAGTTTCTTTTAATGCTAACTCCAAGTACAAAGTTTGAAATGCCTGCATGTAAAATATTTCAGATAAAGATTTATATTCAATATTTTTTTGATATTTTCAAAATCTGGTATGATATACCGATGGTTAGTAGTGATGTAACATTAATTGATCTCACCGTGTGTGTGTTCTAGGGTTAAGCATGAAACAGATTGTCGTCGCTGGGTGCTGACTTCAATGTCCACTCTTATATTATGTAGATTTTTATATATGCGTATCTATAGGATTGGGGATATTTTTTTAAATTTCCGAACATGGTCAGCACATTGTGGCCGTGTTTGCATCCACTAATCATTTGGATAGATTTAACACACTCTGTTCCAAAAAGAAAATACTTGTACGAATGCAAGAAAAATTGAATAAAAATATTAGTCGCCATGCCTTGTCAGTCAACTTCAATGAAAATTGTCTGTATATATATATATATATATATATATATATATATATATATATATATATATCCAAGAGGATAGAATCCTGGTGGAGCTCAATGTCCAGGACAGAGCAAGAATAATAATAAGAAGGGTCAAACACTAATATTCCATGATTATAATTTATTATATTGTAATCGTAATCACGATCCAATTCGTCAGACCTATAAATTCAGAAAGCCTTTTTGAATTTGTAGGTCTGATGTATTGGATCAGATTGGAATATAACCATGGAAAATTAGTGTTATATATATATATATATATATATATATATATATATATAGTGAGTGAGGGAGACATGTTTCGTTGAATAATTTAGGTAAGTTTTGTCTACCTATTTTAATAATGACATCAAAAAACTTGTCCGTGACTATGAAAGAATCCAATTGCAAATAAGTACGCAAAACTTGTTTAAATTATTCAATTAAACATGTCTCAATGAAAATATGCTGCCAAAATATACGCTATATATATATATATATATATATATATATATATATATATATATATCATATCTTCATTCAAGCATGTTTCATTGAATAATTAGCGTCTTGATAAGTAAAATTCATGAAAGGTGGCACCGTAGTTTTTGTTATCCCAAGTACTTCCGATCTCATATATATATATATATATATGTGTGTGTGTGTGTGTGTGTGTGTATAACTGGAGGCATCTGCGACAGCATTGACTAGTCTCTGTACGGCTTTTCGGGGCCTATTTGTCGATTTCAGAGTGCATACTCTTTGTAATTTGAAGTATTTATTTAACAGACATTTTGAGAAAAAAAATTGATGTTTTCTTTCGTTTCTCGTGTTCTTTACACCTTAAAGCTGTCATCTTTATTCGGAAGATGTAGACGAAAATGCTATTTGATATTCATTATTCTTCGTCTCTGGCTCTCCGTATCAGCAGCAGAAGAAGTTTGTTGTAATGTGTTAGGTTTGTCTGACATGTTCGACGTAAAGGACGCCTGCTACAGAGCTATTATTTACACAACTGTCGAAACAATGCCTCCCCTAACATGTACGGTACTGTTTAAAAAACCCCCCAAAAAAAACAAAACAAAAATATATATAAACTAAGATCTCACCGTCTGCGGAACCGTTAATCATAGTTTCACTTATCCGCGGTTAACAAAATCTATTTTACACTTATATTCACCCAATACAAGGACAAATAGCTACTCGTTGTACAGGGTTACTGAATTATGTTGTATGAGCGTAGGAAAAGTAGTTAAGAAGTATAGTTTGTGAGGTTATGTACGAGAGATAACGGTTAACCTTATACTTGAAGAGGTTAAGATTGTATTGATCGGGTAGACATCTTACTGGGCGTTTGCTCCGCAAAGTAGCATGTCTTGCAAAGAAGACATCCGAATACAATATGAAGCTCCTGGTGATGATTCGTTTTTATGTA